GCCGCAGGAAGACATGAGATTGCCAGGCGGATCGTTTTTTTTTCCAATACGGAACCATTGGTCATTGTTTCAAACACTTGGTATTCCTGGTAGCAGCAAGGATGCATCATCCCGTGTGTTCTGCTGGCGAAATTGGAAAATTACATTTTTGAAGAAATGTCAATGGACAGTCTGATGATTTGTGGACCCATCTGAAACATTCTTGATCAATTTTTACTCGTGCACTGGAGGTCCCCTAAGCTTTGTCCAATCTGACTGGTTTTTGGTGGTGTCCGGAACTTAGCTGCGGCCATGACATGCAGATGGAGCATTTGCAATCAGCCTCCAACCCTTCAATGTTTGCTGATCTGCAGCGCAAAGGTCGGGCATCATTGTTGCCCTCAACATCATGTGCATGTACATTCAGGCTGGAGACACAATCCTGTTTTGTTTGTCTGAAAATTCGTTCACGCCCTTCAACATCATTCTCCCTAGCCATATCGTATTGACAGGTGAAATCTCCTCTTTTCAGACAAAACCGTTTTGCAGTGGATAATCCGACAGAGTGAGCTGCCCACCAGATCCAAAAGGATCAGTGTTCGGAAAAGGTATCCAGCGACATCACCAAGGAGGATGCAGACGCCCTGTCCAAAGTGAATCAGGTTTGTTTGGTCTTCTACACGGCAGAGGCTACCCGGCTGAGCCTGGCTGAGCCGGAATGTCTTGGTCAAGAAGTTGTTTTTGATGGTGCTCCATCCAGGGTGTGAAACTTACCTACAAAACAGCATGTTTGTTGATAGTTGCTAGGTTGTGTTTTTGTATGTTTTTGTGAATTCTTGCCTCTTTGGAGGGTGAGCCAATCACTTTCTTGCATTGTAAGTCAGTCCTGCTTGAACAAGATGACCATCAGGTGATAGCGAGAATGCTGCTTGGTATGGGAACGGCACTGGTTCGGGAGGTTGTAGGTGACATTTGTTGCCAGCTTCCTGTTATTGGTATTTGAACTATATGCATTCTACACATTTCATCAGATTTCCACATTGACATGACATTTTGACACATTTTGGAGATTGGAGGCTGGTGCACCAGAGCCAGTGGCTTTTTGTGCGTGGTCACAGGAGCATCTGCCAAGAAATCGGGGGCAAGATTAGAGTCCTTCGTTTCAATCAGTTGCAATGATTCGCGTGAAATTCTTCGCGAATACTGAGGATGCATTTTGGAACACACTTTTGCCGACACGCTGTGGATGCAAGATGGAATGTGTTCGATTTTGCCCCTTGGCCAGCATTGACATGCTTTCCTGCAAGACAAAGCTAAAGGAGAGTGTGACCCTGGCACTCGTGTTTGTGCACGACATGAAAACTCGCCTTGCCAAAAGGCTGTGTGTGGCAGAACTGCCTTGGGATGTGTTGAAGCAAATTGGAAGATGAGGTAATTGTCGCAGCCGGCATCATGGACACTTGGGTGCTACCTTTGATGAATTACGAGGCCACATACTGGTATAATCTGGTATAGGGAGAGTTAGGAGACAGGTCAAAAGACAAGTCTCTGAAAGCGCAGTTGTGTCTCGATGTCATTTCGTTAGTTTGACAAGCCGGGTCCTGCCAGTGCTTTAGATTTCAAGTTGTCCCCTCCCCGCCTCAGTTTTTTTAAAGAAAATATTGAAGACTCGTCACATTATTCCTCGCGATGCGCTGCACTGATCTAAGAAAAAGGTACAAAAACGGTCCGTAGAATTGTTTTATGCTGTTGTAATTTGTTGAGGATGTGTTGCAGTTGCGGACAAGAAACAAGTCTGTACAAATCGGCAGGTTCTCGAAAGAAGACATGTTTGACATGTGCGAGCAGGGGCTGGGGTGAATTGTCACAAATACTATAGCATTATTTAATATTATTTAACACATCTGAACGCAACTAACTATGCTTGGATTTCAGTGAGCGAAGGGATGCAGGGGTGCATCCTTGTATCGGGTGGAAAGCCCTGAGAATCAGACACAACACCTTTGCACTCTGCAGCGGGGAAAGGGCATATCATGTTGGAAGCCTGCAACATCCTGCAACTATGCTTGAAGCATGCCGCAAAAAAACATGAACGAACCAGAGGACCTGACAGGATGGCACCTTTGCATTTGTCCGCTCGGTACGGACAATCTTGATGTCGTGTGGCACTTGGTGAAGGTTAGCGCTGAGAAAGATCGGCGCACAGACAAGGGTGCAACATGGTGCAACGCCATTGTTCGTTGCAGCATGTTGCAGCCTTCAACGGGATCTTGATGTGCATCATTTGGTGGAAGTTGGTGCTAGCAAAGATCAAACCATGAACGTTGGCGCAGCACCAACGTTCATCGCAGCTCAGCAAGGCCATCTCGACGGTGCGTTGTCCAACTTTTTTGTGAGCCTTGCCAGCCTTGCACTCTTCTATCAACTTGTTTGGCACTTTGAACTTTTGTGCCCACTTTGTTGAACGCCTTGAACTTTCGTATCAGCTGATTTTGAACCTTTTTTGAACCGTGAACTTTTGTACTGTAGCAACTTGTTGTTTGTTTCGAAGCTTGAACATATGTATCAGTTTTTCATTATTTTCATTGAGCCCAGCTCTTGTATCGGCTTTTCGTCAGCTCATCTATGTAAAAGGTGCTCTGTCTTAGCCAGTTCTTTCATGATTTTCGTGGAAGCTGGCGCCAACAAAGATCAAACCATGAATGATGATGCAGCACTCCTGCAAGTGTCATCTTGAAGTGGTGCAGCATTTGGTGGAAGTTGGTGCTGACCAAGGTCAAACCAGGAACGATGGTGCAACACCATTGTTCATGACAGTCCGCACCCGTCATCTTGACATCGTCCATCATCTGGTAGAGATTGGCATCGGAAAGGATGAGGCAATACTGGGGCAACAACCTTGCATGTTGCAGCTGAAGAAGGCGGCGGTACCCAAGCCATCATGGGCAATGGTGCCACTCCTTGCATCTCAACATTGTCATGGGGAGGTTGCTCACTTCCAGGCCAAGTTCGGGACCAAATCGCCCCCAACATCTCCCAGCTAAGATTGATAACCAAAGGTCTCGCTGAGAGACAGGCATCCGGCGAGAACAAGCAAGTTCCAGCAGCTGGCTGAAACGAGGAGCCTTCCATATGTGTTGATTTTGAAGTCGCGAAACTGCTAAGAAGTTAACAAGACACACAAGACGCCTAAGTGACACCTCCCGAAAGAAGCTCAAGTCTAAGGGTGAACTTGCAAGATGCCCCTACACTACCCTATAGATATATCATGATAATTCATTCATGATATATCATTGAATCATATTGTGCTGTATCAACTCGGGGTTGTGAACATGATCCGCCCCCTGATAATCGACAACGTGTTCCCAGTGTTGTCGAAATTTCGGAACGCTTCCCAAGCCATCCACCATTGATTTTTTTGGGGGTATCCCGTGCTGGCCTATACGATGCAGGTTCATAAGTCCTCCAGCTATTGGCTGCCATTGCTGCGCCTGCTTCGAGTGTTAAGGCCATGAGATCTTTGCATCTCTCAACAGCGGTGTTTTGAACAGGTAGATCATGGTAGAACCCTCAAGCGTCCATCAGTCCATCAGATTTCACAAGAGACCCACCACCTCCGCTCTATTCCGCACTTGCAGGTTTCTCCGTGTGGTGAAACTGCTGGGGGTGCCTCCGCTGCACGATATGCACAGTTGGCCAGTGATGATCAGTGATGGCTGTACGACGGCTGTACGATACTGTTGATACAGAATCTCCATTCGTCCAGGTTCTCTTTCGCTCAGATCTTCGTTGGACAGAGTTCGGACTGCTCAGATGGCCATGGGATGCCAGAGGATGCCATGGGAATCACCTTCCTGGAAAGCTGCCTTTCACATGAATCCATTGACATCAGTGGGAAGTGGGAAGATCATCGAAAATTCCACTTAACAAGAACATATTTCACCAAAAATCATATTACGCAACTCAAGGTGTGCACAAACAAATACGACCGAGGACTAGAACTCACTGTTCTGTGCGGGAATGCTTGCTGAGGATTCTTGTGTTCCATGTTTGCCTGAACTGTGTTCAAGATGCATCATTCATGATCATCCACACTGCAAGATGCATCCTCGGCGACCTTTCCATCCCGGTCCCGTGCCATTCCAGTGGCATTGTTGTGCTAAGATCGGTGGCCTTCGCTTCGGAAGCATCCTTAGCGCCGATCAACCTTTTCAGCATCGGGTGAGACAAGAGGCAAACGGCTCCAAAAACAGCAGCACCGCTACCCTCACGATATCTGACTGTGAATCTACGTAGATCTACTAAATCTACTAGATTCTAGATCTACTGCGATTTAGATACGTCTACTTTATATAAACTTGGAACAACATCCCAGTCAAAAAAGTTCCTTCAGCCTTTTGTGATGCAGGAATTGTCCATGACTCAGGTGGTGTCAGCGGTGATCCTGGGCAGTGTAGTCTTGATGGGCTCGAAGCTCAGAAGAATTGAATCCCCAGGTCATCAACCGACTAAGGTCACTGATTTGTATACCCAGTGTAAGGTAAGGATTTTTATTGATTACATCAATGGATAAACATGATTATATTATATATGTATATAACTCTTATATACTATAGTTATCAGGATTTCTATAAGCATAAACCCATTCTATATTATTGATAGTTATTGTATTATGTATCTACACCATCCCCATAAAATGAACAAACAGACCCTGAGAAGTCGCCATTTTTGGGAAAGCAGTCAGCATTGAAAAAAACATGAAAATCCCAGAGCATCCTGGAGCCCAGGCCTTGAAACTGACATCAACTCGCGGATCTGGGAACCTGTGAACGATTTGGTGCAGCGCTTGGACCATCGACTGCTTGTGAAGTTCCTGCTTCAAGAGTCATGCGTCCGTAGCCCATGTTGCTTCAAGACCATTTTTGTTGATAGATGTTGATAGAACACTATACACCCTTACTACGGGTCCAATGGCTTGAGTTGTTTTGAAGATCAATCTTGACACGTTTTGATGATTCTGCATGAGTTTGCATGTTCAGGTCTTGCTCTTTTTCCTCTTCGAACTGATTGTTTGAATCTTGGCCACCGGTGATCCATGTCGATCAGTTGCAGGTGATGTACCCTCGGCTGAGGTGAACTTTCACAAGCTGGGCTGCAGTGGTTTCTTCTCTTCGGAGGTCTGCTTGGGCCTGGGGCCGGATGGTGCAAAGTTTGGCTCGATCAACGAATGGAGACTACTGTAACATGGAAATATTGCCAGCAAACACATGGATCACGCCGAGTAAAACTGGTTTGTGGTTTTAAGAAACGATTAATTATGCTCTAACCTGTACCTGGCCCTACCCTCTGGTAATAAAACTTGGCAATGGAAAATCATCCGTGAATTATCATTTATTTACATGGAATTTGTATGAATTTGTAAGGGATTTCCCATTCCGAGTGCCATATTTGATTCCCAACGGGCCCAGGACTACGTTTGGAACTGCCTGGACCTCTTCATCGTCGTCATGGGCGCCATGGATCAGTGGGTCTGGATCCTAATGAGATGCAAGACGAGCGGCACGCAGTATTTTGAACGGATTTGCAAAGGAAAAAAGGGGGATGCAACTGGGATATAGATATATGATATATACATATAATATATATGTATGTATATATATATATATGTATCTATACACAATTACATATATACATATAATTGGAATGTGACTGGGATAATATGAGCCCCCACTAACTTGGCTCCCAGGTTTCAACAGCAGACAAAACCCCCAAGTTCTTGCCGGGTTGTGGTTGCTCAGGTCATCCGGTTGTTGTTCGTGGTGATGTACGGCCGGCATCACAGTGATGAGCTGGGGAATTCCCTGATGCTGTTCCGGCTACTCAGAATGCTCAGGAGATGTGCACGTAGATGTACGTAGACTATCGTAGACTTTACTCCAGCTGTGGATCCCGGTTAAAGATGGAACATGATTCATTTTGTGAGAGGTGTTGGAGTTGATTTGACCGAAGCTTTTAGGTGGAGCATCCTCGCTTTCACCAACGGAATTTCGAATATTACAGAGAAGCATTGGAGACAAGATGTGACAAATTTGATCAAGTTTGCAGCTTTTGAACGGACGAATCTGAAGGATTGGTTGAAAGGTCTCTCTCTCTCTCTCTCTCTCTCTCTCTTACTGCAGCTCGTTTTCCACTTTTTTGGTGGTGGTCCCCTCATGTCCCCTCAACATCCTAAACTCCAGGCCTCTCCAGGCCGCCTGGTTCCGCAGGATTTTACGAGTGCTCCGGCTGGTGAAAGCGATACATCCGCTGTACATGTTGGCGCTGGGGATTGCAGAGGCCACAGCGACCAAAGTGGATCCTCCCACATCACGGAAATTCGTAGTGTGGCATTTGGTCATGTTGGGCTGCCATTGTGAGAGCTGCTGAAGGTTGAGCCAAGTGAAAATTATGATAAAACATGTCGAATATGATATATATATATATGTAAATAGTGTTTAGCAGCGTTTAGCAATAATAAATATGAATTCGACATCCAGACTGGGCACAGAAGGCTCCTGGTAGAAAATGACAATGCCCGCAAACCCGGTGCTCAAATAAACGTGGTCATGTTTGGATATGTTTGGGCATTTGCAAGGTCTGAAGTTCACTGGCCAAGCGGTGCAAAGTATGTTTTGGGTGTTGCTGCTGACGCTGGTGGCACTCTATGCGTTGGGATGCCTGGGAAGACCATGACTCCATGACTATCTCAGACAGCCATCATGGGCCATGGATGGCCATGGATGGCCATGGAGAATCCCAAGAACAATGATGGTATATAACATCCCTGAGGTCTGCCATTATCACCACGCGCATAGTACGAGAAACTGCGGAGATCGAGGCTGGCGGAGATTGAGTGTAGAAGTGGGGAATACTTCATGACGGTTCAGCGGTTCAGCCAAGCTTGGATGGTTCATCCTACTGATTGGGTTAGCACAGGTATGCTCAGGTTATATTTCACGTCAATGCCTTCAAGCCACGAGAGCATACGAGAGCTTTCACGGATTTACACAGCACATAACCAAATGATTGTAAGAAGCTCCTCTTCACTCCAGCTGAACATGAACTCTCAAGTCCATTTGTTTGGCAAACAACTTTCTTACAGGTGTATTGAAGGTATTGCGTGGATTTGGCAGTGTCAAGTTGGTACTAAGATGTACTAAGATGATCTAATTAGCTAAGCATAGCTAAGCTGAGCTAACTGTGAAACTTCCATCGGCCACACTGTTGAACTGTTAAACATCGAGAGGAGGTGCCAGATTCGGCGCGGCAACTCTTTCGAACTGTCCCCGACTCGATGTTTACGCTTTTCGTCCTGATGAATGGTGAGGATGCTGCAGGGGTGGGGGTGGGACATGGTACATGGTGTGCTAGGCAGATCTTGTTGATTTGGCCCATCTCCAGGAGTGGCCTGATGTGATGCCCTTGCTCGACGCGTGCGGGACCTGAAAGATACTGAAAGATAATAATCAATATTGATAAACAAGAACATGACATTTTGAATCGTTTTGAGATGTTTTGACAGTTACACAGCAAAGGTTTTACATGTTTTTTTCCTCCATGCTTGCATGTAACAATGATCACGTTTGGATATGTACAAATAATTCAACACAGTAGTCTGCTCAGTACGGCGTCATACATCGTCATATACCTGGTCCCTTTCTTTTGCAGGGTCTGTCTATACAAATTTCGCAGTAGCCAAATGTAGGCAACTGTGCAAGATGGTCAGCTTGCTGAGGTTCCCTAGTCTGAAGTTTATGTTCGTCATTTTCATCATCATCTCAACTTGGGCATTGCTCTCGGCTGGGGCCTCAGACTTACAGTAACTTTCATAGGTTGCCATGGCTTTTATTGTCTAAACTCTAATGATTTCAGGGATGCATTTTCTGGAGAAGAAACTCTTAAGTTCTGAACTGGTCTAATCTTCGAGATACCTTCGGTTTCTGTGGTGGTTGCTCCACATTGTCCAAGCGCCTCTATGAGGCAAGGGATATCAAGGGATTCAGATCGTGTCTGAAGCTGGCTGTTCTTGAGGTGATGACTGGAGTTTGGAACTCAGGTCAGAAGCACCAAATTGGTTTCTAAAGACCAACAGATCCATGCCGTTCAAAAATTCAGCCTTTGCCCCAACCACAAGCACGTCCGGTTTTTTTTTGAAAAGCAGAAAACTCATGAAAACTCATGAAAACTCTTGGGTCAATTAGATTCAAAATCTAAAGTCTTCAATTTTGACACAGTCCGACCCAATTGGAACATCAAAGTTTGGTGCTCAACCTGCACGAGATCATGGTGACCCAGGTAGTTAGTGACAACATGATCTACGCCCGTGAAGCTCAAACCCGGAAGGAGTCGAACTTCTCAGAGATCGGCTGACGACGTGTTGATATGCGATACATTCTGTCCAAGCATTCAATATGACACGGGAACTGTACATGTATAATCAATTATAGTCATATATAATCATGTATGTATTTATAGGTTTGTTTTGAAAACAGCATCTTACGAAATTGTTGCGTGTCCCAAATCGGCAATCTTGCGCAGGATGAAACTCTGCAAGGAGAACGTCGCGCAAAGGTGCGGAGTCTTGACACAGTGACATCAATGCTTCGTGGTTGGTTCACCCACTTATAACCGGGAGAAGGTCCAGTCAGATTAACCAGAAACCACCCCTTTGAGTGCTCAAATCTTCAGATTCCAGTTTTTGTATTTCCAAAGTGCTTCATGCAAGGTTTGCAGATGTGGTCAGGTTCAGAAGGCATTAAACGATGTCTTTGTCGCTTCCCATGGTGGTTCAAGAGATGACAAGAGGCGCGACTTTCTTTGTCAGTGATGCTGTGTTTTTGCCTTGATCTCCAGGCCATCTGAATCATGTTTCCCAGGGTGCCTTTCCATCTCAATCTATTGCACTTTGAGTTTTGGCCAATGCCATCAGTTGCAAGTCACGCCATGTTGCCATTTCATAAGACTTAATTGAAAGTGCTTTAGGCAACTGACGTCCTTTTTCAGAGCTTGGAGCGCTTGAGGCTCAACGACCAAGACTGGCAAGAGTTGCTGAAGGTTCCCTTCTACGCTAAGAAAATCTCAGATGTCGTATCTTGGCTGCAGCCTTCCAGCGGCATCCTTCGAAAACGCCACACGTCAACAGTAGCAAAATCTCGTCCGACCCAGGTGCCGACAGTTCCAAAGAAGGACAAGAAGAATTGTGTGGCCACTTGGGGCTCCGGGCTGCTGTTCAACGGTAGAAAATTAAGCAACATCCATCCAATTGTTTTGTCACGGTCGTACATGTGATATTATTGAGTCTATACTTACTGTACCTAATTTAGATTCATGATGATTCATGTACAATATGTTTATTGGAACCTCTTTGCCATTTGTCCGTGTCGTTCCATTTAATTTTGTCCACTCAACAATGTACAAAGTGCTACGGATTATTCACCCACATTTTGGGGAGCCATCACGTGCAGGACTTGGCCGACATGTTTGCTTGGCTTCAAGCGGAAGCAGATGGTAAAGTGCCATTCGAGGACCAACCCTTGGCTGAAATGCGCATTGAAATGCACTGAAATGCCTTATAACAATCTTATGGCATCTTATAGCAATCTTATGGCATCTTATGACAATCTCATGACATAATATACATTTATGATTACTGGCATTTTCTTAGTGGTAGGAATGGCGATTGTTGGATATGGTTGGAACATGTTGGAACAATCGGAAAACATTGCTGGGATCCCATGCAGTGCGTTCACGCCACGGCCCGGACCACGCCGCGTTCCATACACTTCCATAGCTTGGCACAGGAAGTCCTGCGAGGTGTACACACCCTGGCGGAACCACCCAGCGGCAAATCCATCCTGCAGGCCAGGGCAGTTGTTTCTCAATGGATGGCGGGTGATATTCTTCTGATTCTCATCAAAACATATTTAATGACTGTTTATTATATATATATTGATATTGATATTAATTGATTGATTAACTAAGACATTAAAATATATTAAGATACAATAATAACATATAATTGTAATATAATTATATTATTTATATATTTTATCATATTGTGTCATATCGTACTATATCAAAATACAATATGATATTATATTATAGATATTATAAGATACGACATATATATATAGTATCTCAAGATATAGTAAGACATGTAAAGATATTTAAGATACATATTGTCGAGATATACTAATCGTATGTGATATGCACAAAACACATGATTATCGAAGGAAGTTTAGAAGTCAAACTTCCGACAATATGGACAGATGAAAAGCAGAGATGGGAAGAGGCAGCGAAGAGAAAAGAAGAAAGAAGATCAAAAAAGAAAAAGTCTCAGAAGAAAGAAGATCCAGGTGCGCGAAAAGGTAGGAAAGTCGCGAAACACGTTTTTCCAATGATTTGTGGCTCCGGAGGGTCGAAAAGTAGGCTCGCTAAAGCGGCGGGTGCGGAGCGAGCTGGCCAGATGAGAGATGAAAAATTGCATGCCGTTGTGGCGCGAAGGTGCGCAAAGCACATTTCGAAGTCAAAATGTACAAAACACACCAGGTCCGGACCACTTTTGGAAGTTGAGATGTCGAAAAAGCGCACACCATTGTGGCGCGAAGCACATTTGCCAGTGAAAAAGGTAAAAGCACCTCACGTTCGGAGCATTTTTAGAAGTTGAGATGATGAAAAAGTGCACGTCGTTGTGGCGGGTAGCACATTTCCAAGTCAAAATGTGCAAAGAACACCATGCTCGGACCACTTTTGGAAGTTGAGATGATGAAAAAGTGCACGCCGTTGTGGCGTGAAGCACATTTCGAAGTCAAAATGTGAAAAGTACCACATGCTCGCGCCACTTTTGGGCCTTGAAGCGTTGTTTTGCGTGGCAAGCGGAAGGGATTGTGCACCTTGCCAAAAGTGAGTAAAACCATGAGGGTTTTGTAGCATTTCCAAAAACGATGGCAGGCGTGTGACATTTGAAGAAGATCTGGAAAGATGCATTTTCAGTGGCAGGCACAGTACAAGAGACATGTTCATCAGAGCTGTTACGAGGTCAGGGCGCTGATTGCATTTTGGAGCATCAGATCTTCAGGTTTGCTGAGATGCTTTTGCGTGACAGGTGCAGCACTTCGCATGACCTGGCATCACTTTTTCGTGGCAGGCGCAGTACTTTAGACAGGTGGAGTGGAAAAAACGCAAAACGCATTGGTACGAGGCCGTCAGCTCTGCACTAAACTTTCCATTTTTGAAGGACGTCTCGCAGAATTGTTTCGTTTTTGATGTTGTCAACTTCGAAAATTGAGGAAGCTTTGCAGAATTCCTTCGTTTTTGACGTTGCCAAGTTCAAAACTTGAGGAAGTCTCGCAGAATTGCTTTGTTTTTGACGTTGCCAAGTTCAAACCTTGAGGAAGTATCGCAGAATAGCATCGTTTCAAGCTTGCAGATTGCAGCTAGACAGACAGACAGACAGACAGATAGATAGATAGATAAAAAGACAAATAGACAGATAGACAGACGACAAAAAACAAAAACAACAACAACAACAGCAACAGCAACAGCAACAGCAACAACAACAACAACAACACCCAGCAACAACAACAACAAGAACAAGAACAAGAACAAGAGCAAGAGCAACAGCAACAACAACAGCAACAGCAACAACAACAGCAACAGCAACAACAACAACAACAACTACAACTACAACAACTACAACTACAACTACAACTACAACTACAACTACAACTACTACTTCAACTACTACTACTACTACTACTACTACTACTACTACTACTACTACTACTACTACTCCTGCTACTACTACTACTACTACTACAACTACAACAACAACAACAACTACTACTACTACCACTACCACTACACTTATACACTACATTGTAGAACCACCGTTTGGCTTAAGACTGCTTTTGCCGTTTTGGTGCAGGAGGGGGGGGGTATTGGTGCACGGCTGGTGCGCGGAAAAGAATAGGGGCAAGGGTGGGTCTGGGAAGGGAAAAATAGGTGCGGGAGTGGGTTCTTGCCGATCTATGGATAGAGTCGGGATTTTGTCGGGATCCCGTCGGGACCCAGTCGGGCACCAATTTTTGCATTTTTGGGCACCGCTTTTGGCCAGTCGGGCACCAATGTCGGGAGGCAGCCAAATTCATAAAAAACAGCTCTTTGCAGTGTTTTTGATTGTTTTTGCACGTTTTTGGTTGGCCATCTTCCCGACAGGTCCAAACGTGGTGCCAAAAACTCGAAAATTGGTGCCCGACTGGGTCCCGACTAGGTCCCGATTGGATCCCGACTGGGTTTCTTCAAATAAACACATATTTCCTTTAATTTGAGCACCTTTTTTTGAAATTTTAGCACCTTGCCGTGCACCACCCCCCCCCCCCCCCCCCCCCTCCGGACCCCCCCCACCAGTCTTAAGCCAAACACGGGCAACTCAAACACTACACGACTACAACTACAACTACAAATGCAAATAAATTAGGCTACAGTACACTACACTAATTACACTACACTACATAAATTACATCTATTTACATGCACACTACAACTACAACAACTACTACTTCCACAGCTACAACTACAATTTCAACTACACCACGTTACACTACACTGCACTAATTACACTGCAGCACACTACAACTACACATACAAATGCGACTACAACTACATTACATTGCACAACACTACACTACACTAATTACTGCAACTGCAACTACCACTAAATTGCACTACACGACGCTACGCTATTTGCACACTACACTAGACTACACTACACTATACCAAGCTACAGTAGACTACAATACACTACACTAATTACACCACACCACAGTTACAACTGCAACTGCAACTGCGAATGCACTAATTACACTACATTACAGCTACAGCTCCGCTACACTACACTACAACTACAGCTACAACTGCTACTAAAACTACACTGCACTACACCACACTACATCCAGCAGTTGTGGTAAGGTGACCACTGCAACCATTGCAACCGTTCCAAAAACACAATTCCAACCACCTGTCGGTCCATCAGTGGATTCGCTCTGCCATCCGTGATTCACAACAACCAACCTCTCCTATAGGTTTTCTATTTTTGAAACGTCCGCCACCGCCTTGTGCGGTACTACTGGTGTATATATACATATATATATATAATTTTATTATGATACTTGAAAACGGCTTGCCGAAACAATTGGCTGATGGGCTCCACACATTTTGTTAGTTTCTGCCCATGTTTGGTCCACATTCGCCATGTTTCACTCGTCCCAAAAGTACCAAAAAACACGGACACCAAGTCCATTGATGACATGACACTAGCAGTCACTGGCACACTTGGATGTGCAGTTCCACTTGTGGGTATTGTTACAGGGGTTATATCCGAACTGATGGGGGCTAGTACTATGATTAGCGAAGGAAGTTTAGAAGTCAAACTTCCGACAATATGGACAGATGAAAAGCAGAGATGGGAAGAGGCAGCGAAGAGAAGAGAAGAAGAAAGAATATCAAAAAAGAAAAAGTCTCAGAAGAAAGAAGATCCAGGTGCGCGAAAAGGTAGGAAAGTCGCGAAACATGTTTTTCCAATGATTTGTGGCTCCGGAGGGTCGAAAAGTAGGCTCGCTAAAGCGGCGGGTGCGGAGCGAGCTGGCCAGATGAGAGATGAACAATTGCATGCCGTTGTGGCGCGAAGGTGCGCAAAGCACATTTCGAAGTCAAAATGTACAAAACACACCAGGTCCGGACCACTTTTGGAAGTTGAGATGTCGAAAAAGCGCACACCATTGTGGCGCGAAGCACATTTGCCAGTGAAAAGGGTAAAAACACCTCACGTTCGGAGCATTTTTAGAAGTTGAGATGATGAAAAAGTGCACGTCGTTGTGGCGGGTAGCACATTTCTAAGTCAAAATGTGCAAAGAACACCATGCTCGGACCACTTTTGGAAGTTGAGATGATGAAAAAGTGCACGCCGTTGTGGCGTGAAGCACATTTCGAAGTCAACATGTGAAAAGTACCACATGCTCGCGCCACTTTTGGGCCTTGAAGCGTTGTTTTGCGTGGCAAGCGGAAGGGATTGTGCACCTTACCAAAAGTGAGTAAAACCATGAGGGTTTTGTAGCATTTCCAAAAACGATGGCAGGCGTGTGACATTTGAAGAGGATCTGGAAAGATGCATTTTCAGTGGCAGGCACAGTACAAGAGACATGTTCATCAGAGCTGTTACGAGGTCCGGGTTTTTTCTGGAGTATCAGACCGTCAGGTTTGCTGAGATGATTTTGCGTGACAGGTGCAGCACTTCGTATGACCTGGCAGTGGTAGGCGCAGTGCTTTTGACAGGTGGAGTGGAAAAATCGCAACACGCATTTGTACGAGGCCGTCAGCTCTGCACTCAACTTTCCATTTTTGAAGGACGTCTTGCAAAATTGCTTTGTTTTTGATGTTGTCAACTTCAAAAAATGAGGACGTCTCGCAGAATTGCTTCGTTTTTGATGTTGTCAAGTTCAAAAATTGAGGAATTCTTGCAGATTTATGTTGTCAAGCTCAAAGACTGAGGAAGTCTCGCAGAAGATTCATTTTCAAGCTTGGAGATAGACAGATAGAGAGACAACTACAACTGCGACTACAACTACAAGTACCACTACACTACACTACACTACTACTACAACTACTGTAACGACATTTAAATATTGTGGAGGGCGGGCCAGACCGCGAGGCCCCGGAGGGTAGTTAGCGTATGTTTAGATGAATTGGATTCCGTATGTTTAAATGGCCGGGCGGGCCAACCTTCCCGGAGGTAGTCTAAAATACCTGTTCATATATTGAAAAGCCCATTTATTTAAATGTAGTTACCGCACAAGTACAAAATATACTACGCTACATTACACAACAACAATTACACTACGCTACACCAAATTACATCAAATTACGCTACACTACACAAATTACACTACAACTACCACAACAGCAACTACTACAACAGCAGCTACTTCTACTTCTACTTCTACTTCCACCCACTTCCACTTCCACTGCCACTGCCACTTCCACTACCGCTTCCACTACCACTACCACTACTACCACTACTACCACTACTACCACTACTACCACTACTACCACTACTACCACTACTACCACTACTACCACTACTACTACTACTACCACTACTACCACTACTACCACTACTACCACTACTACCACTACTACCACTACTACCACTACCACTACCACTACTACTACTACTACTACTCTTACTACTACTACTACTACTACTACTACTACTACTACTACTACTACTACTACTACTATTACTACGACCACCACCACCACCACCACCACCACCACCACCACAGCTACAACTAAAACTACAGCTACACTTCATTACACTTCACCACAGCTACACTTCATTACAGCACATTACAGCTACAAATACAACTACAGCTACAACTACACTACATTACACAACACTACACTACACTAATTACATTACATTACACTAAAACTGCAACTATCACTACATTGCACTACACCACACTACAACTACAAGCACACTACTTTACACCACAATACACTAGACTACACTACGCTATACCACGCTACAGTACACAACACTACAATACACTACGCCAAGTACACCACAACTACTACAACTGCAACTGCAACTACACTACACTAGTTTCACTACACTACAACTACAACTTAAAACTACAACTCCACTACACTACAACTACAACTACACCTACAACTACAACTACAACTGCACTACACCACACTACATCCAGCAGTTGTGGTGAGCTGACCACTGCAACCATTGCAGCCACTCCAGAAAGCACAACTCCAACCACCTTTCGGTCCATCAGTGGATTCGCTCTGCCATCCGTGATTCACAACAACCAACCTCTCCTATAGGTTTCCTATTTTTGAAACTTCCGCCAACGCCTTGCGCGGTACTACTGGTAACTCATAATAGCCTCAACTGGCAGGTGGATTCTGAAGTGAAGCAACGCTTCTCCAGACTTGCGAACCAGGCAGGGACCGACCTTGTCAAGACAATGGGATGTGAAGTGCCAGTTCTGGGGGGGGTTACCGGTAGTGCATCCGCATCAGGCGGATTACATCGAAGACTGCATCATGGACATGGATGAGAAGGTCGGGAATCATAGAAATCACGTTTGTTTCCTAGAGACCTGTACCTATTGTACCTGCTGAGTAATTCATGTTCTTTTGTTGCATCATAATAATGTATGTTTGTTGAGCTCTTTCAGGACTTGTTGGTTCTGCTTCCGTCACCCATGAATTCCAGCAGATGATCATCGTCGTTATTTACTGACGCAACAAAATATATAGGTTGAAGTCGTAATTTAACTATAGTATGCTATAGTCAGGGTTGTTCCAACCCATCTTGGGTAAAAAATAACCACAAGGGCGGGAAACATGTTCTTTTGCATCATTTTGCAATATTTTACGTTTTTATATACCTGGTTTACTTCCCCTTCTTGTATTTGGGTTTGTTGAGAGCAACCTGCTGGGCGATTGCATTTTGAGGTGAAGGAGTCCTATGCTGCAACCCCAGAGCTATGCTGATACTCTCTGGGATATGTTGAACAATTGTGGCCAAGATTCGATTCCAAAATTTTGCTTCACTAAGTTTGAGATGGTTTGAACTCGATGTCCTCGAGTTTGTTTTTTTCTCCCGCAGACCTTTTGGTGCCTACTCTACCTATATGCAGATGCAACATACCCAGACTTACATGGCCATACCACGCGCCTTTATTTCATGTCATTTCAGTTTATGATTTTATATGTTTTTATGATTTTCATCCTGTCAAATTTCATAGGATTTCGTAGTCCTCATACGACCATCGGCCGTGGTGATGTCGCGCTGAGGCTTCCATGCATGCCATGCTGGATGAACTCATTGGAATCTCGGGTGTTGTGATGACAACTAGTTCAATGACCCCAGACAGCACCAGACTTAGTGAGACTTAGTGCAGATCCCAATGATGATGATGATGATGATGATGATAATGATGATGAGGATGAGGATGAGGACGAGGAGGAGGAGGATGAGGAGGAGGATGAGGATGAGGATGAGGATGATGATGATGATGATGATGATGAGGACGAGGAGGAGGAGGAGGATGAGGAGGAGGATGAGGATGAGGATGAGGATGAGGATGATGATGATGATGATGATGATGAGGATGAGGACGAGGAGGAGGAGGAGGATGAGGAGGAGAGGATGAGGATGAGGGATGAGGATGATGAGGACGAGGAGGAGGAGGAGGATGAGGAGGAGGATGAGGATGATGATGATGATGATGATGATGAGGATGAGGGCGAGGAGGAGGAGGATGAGGAGGAGGATGAGGATGAGGATGATGATGATGATGATGATGATGAGGACGAGGAGGAGGAGGAGGAGGAGGACGAGGAGGAGGATGAGGATGAGGATGAGGATGATGATGATGATGATGATGAGGATGAGGACGAGGAGGAGGAGGATGAGGAGGAGGATGAGGATGAGGATGATGATGATGATGATGATAATGAGGATGAGGATGAGGACGAGGAGGAGGACGAGGAGGAGGAGGAGGATGAGGATGAGGAGGATGATGATGATGATGAGGAGGATGAGGACGAGGAGGAGGAGGATGAGGAGGAGGATGAGGATGATGATGATGATGATGAGGATGAGGACGAGGAGGAGGAGGATGAGGAGGAGGATGAGGAGGAGGATGAGGAGGATGATGATGAGGATGAGGATGAGGATGAGGAGGATGATGATGATGATGCCGACGCTCGTGTTGGGAGACATGATTTTCAACTGCGGGTGATCTCCGGGTGATTGTTCTATGTTTGATTGTTAGTTTCATTTCGGTATTGGCCGAGGGTTGTTTTCATTTGTTCAGTTCCTTGGCGGGTTGCCCTTGTACTCCCAGGTGTTTGCGTCGGCCTATCGATACAACCTGTTCCAACTGGTCGTGGTTTCTTTCCTCAAACTGCATCGCTGAGGTTTTGTTGGGGCCAAGGCATCACCAGAAGAAGAAAGTGCCGCAATGACACCCAGAGATGACGTGATGATCCCTGCTTTGCCTCCAGTCATGCCTGGAACGGGAACGAATCAAGCAGCGACCCAAAGGGACAGCGGATCATATGTTTAGTTTCGATGCGCCAACATAGCTGAAACAATGTGAAATAGTGTGAAATAGTTTGATCATGTGTGTGCATGTGTCTACATACATACACTGCTATCACATCTTCCTTAGTTTGTCTCTTTACGTTCCGACAGTATACGACTGTATTCCATAACATGCAAGATCATGCAACAGCGGTACAACTCAAATTGTGAAGACAAACAAATCACAGATTTTGTTTGTTTCTATAGTACGCCATATAGAATTACAATCGCATTTTGTCGGCAATTTTTTACCAACACCTGCATTGAACAAACAGAGTATGGGTGACTTGTCAAGCTTGTGAAGGGGAGTTCAGGTTGAGCAAAACCATGTGTTCCTTCACCGATCCTATCCGATCCTGAAGGGTGCAAACCAAATATTTTCCAAGTTTTAATAAACGATGGTTCGATGCAACTAAGTTGCGGGCGTTTCACCCCAAAGCGCCATTTGCTGAGGGAAAAACCTGCCGAGTCTTTCGTATTGATGGGATTTTGCCGCACTTGATGGGTGCATTCTTTATGACATCATGAGTCCACATGAAAACTTATCTAAGGTCTAGAGTGAAAACACTTTGCTATTGCTATTCAACTTGTTCTCGTAGCCCCTAGTAGGCTGTACATAGCGCAAGTGCACAACTAAACTCCTCTATGTTGCAAAGTTATTGTTTTTTTTTATCTTTTTGGACACAGCAGATGTGGGACAGCCATGGAAAGTTCATCATTTTCACATAGGATTGCGGCACTATTGATGTATTCCAGGAAGGAAAGCAGGTTCAATCAATTGCTGGATGAATAATACAGTCAACCAAAGATGTCGGACACGGGTACACCAATTTAAGATTTAGCAGAATCAATGATGTCTTTTTAGGTCAATTCACATAAGAATCAGCATGTTGCCGCAGCTTTCAGGCACTTACCCCACCTTTTCGGGGCTTGACATGGCTGATTCATCATATCAAGCTGCACGTTGCTTCTAATGTGAGCATCCTAATATCCCAATTTGGTCCAGATAACCAGCAACACTTGAGATTTACATGTAGGAATGAAGCTTGTACTCTCACTGTTGAAGACTTGAGAGCCTTGCTCTTTCAAGACACATGGATAAAACATGCAAACTGCGAGTCTTTGGACACAGCTACCCCAACTTGTGGGTTTCAAACAGCTCTCATGGGTTCCTTTCCCACGACTTGTTTCCACAAGGAGATTGGCGCAGGGCTGTGGAATGAGTCCAAGCCTGTTTCAATCATCTCATTGGATTTTAATGATTTAACCATATTGAACCCCTGGCTTTCCTGGAAACACCACAGTGTTCCCACATGAACCAAGTGCATGTTTTGGCCGTTTTCACTACACTGTCGAGGACGTAGTGGCAGAAGAAGGGTCAACAACAACCACGACTTTCGTCTCAACGGAGCCTTTGGTGGCAGAAACTGACAAGGCGAGGTGGGCCCTGGCGTATGATTGCAAAGGAATTACTTTCCATAGATCCGCAATCACAACATATCACAGCATATCACAACGCATCACAATGTATCACAACAACTCATTGTAGCCTTCCAAGCCATTCTAAGTGGCGGGTGACCGCACAGGGCGGGTGTTGGGGCTCGTAATGGCTCGTTTTTTTTTGCGAACACACCATTCTGAGCGGCAGGTTGTGCTGAGAGTTTGGATTTGGCCTTCACAAAAAGTTGGAGTTGTCCTCTTCAGCCTTTTGATTTCCAATGATTTCCATCTATCATTTGTTGGAGTCTTTTGGGCGTCTGGATATATCCAACTTGCCTTGACATGTTTGAGTCAATTCCCTGTTTTGGAAAGGAGCGCTTCGTTCATGAAGTGAAGTATCTTCAACTTGGACTCCAACCGTTGTGACTCCAACCCCTCAAAGGCTAACGTTGAATGTGAATGTCTTTCCTGCCTGCATCTTCCCATCACATCACCCTTCTGCAACAAGTTCGGCCGCCTCAATGACATCGCATTGAATTTGGGAAATGAGTCCCAATGAGTCTCTCTCTCTCTCTCAATTTGTCACATGATTTGGATGTTGAAAATGTTTGAACTGATGGCTATGTTCCGCTGAGTTCCTCTCTTTTTTGATCCATGTCTCTCGCACAAAGGATCCAAGCTAAGCTGGTGGGATGTCAGCGTCAGGTTCAGCAGCCAGAGGATGAGAGTGATGATGAGGATGAGTACGACAAGAGTTCTGAGGAGAGCTGTTGCAACAAAACTGGTCGTGACTGTCGCAATCTTTTTTATCCGCCTCAGGACCTTTGGCCTTTGTTGAAACTGCAGCGTCAGCTTGAGGTACGGATGGTAAGGGGCTGCAGTATTGGGTCCTATTTGAAACCCGTGCCACCTTGAAGACTGGTCCTATTTGATCTGCATTTGCCAAACTATTGGCGGAGGAACTGTTGTGCCTAGCCAGATTCTACAACATTTGCGGGTTGGAGCAAGGCTACAGCGACACTCCAGTGGTTCGTTCAGCCAAGGTTTGTTTGTGGTTTTATACCGTTGAAAGCAAGAAGCTAATCTTATTTATCGTGCTTTCTGCATTGTGGGCTAAGTTGTTGTAGTTGAATAGTTTAGGACACATTTGGATTCCGGACCCTGCTTTCTCCGCCGTTGAAGGCACTGTCAAAGCTAAAGCCAAGTCTCCAAGAACGTGGCTGGGCAAAAAATATTGTGAGGATGCTCTCCAAAGTGTTTGCCAAGTATTTGTTCACCCGAGAACAACGGTGGTTTGCAACAGTTTTAATATGTTTTAATGAATTAAATGAAACAATCAAACCTCGTGGTTGCGCCTCTTGGTTTATGTCGGGGGCCAGCTGACACCAAGGACATTTAGCAGTGTTGCTGCCCAGTGCTTAGTCTTTTTTAGCAACTCTTGACGAAGTGTTTCATCTTGAGGCCTCAGGGCTCTCTTTGTGGCCTCCCAACCAATAACAATGTGGTAAAAAAAACGTGTAAAAACTATTAAACAATCCCCCAACTGGGGTTTATGATTGGACCAGCGGTGTACCACTCTGATTACTCTGGTCTAACTTGTCCAACTCCGCTTAGGACTACGGGTGCCATGAATCCACTACATCGTGGGCATGCACAGCTTCTGCACCAGGCACTTGCCTATATGCAGAGATTGCAGTCGTGAGAAACTTGGAGGGATAGAAAGACAATGAAAATCCTAGCATTTCAGGCAGTTCAGACAACCAGGTGCGGTAGTTTAAGATGTGTCCCAACAGGAATTTGTGCACTTATGTGTACATGCAAAGGTTTAAAGGGTTGGCATTTTGGAATTACATCCTCCACACTGACTTGCGGGAATATCATGTTCACTGTATTGACTTTTGGCAGCAATCCATCTGTAGGATTATACAATGGAGTGGAACGTTCGGTGTTCCTGCCAAGAACATTCAGGATTGTCCAAATCGAACGCAAAAACCAGTGACCATTAGCTTACCAACAGCACTGCAATTACAATACCCAGATGCCCCATGCATGGAACCTTTGAAATTACATAAAGTTAGCAATACACCCAAAATTTATATGAGCCACTGCAAAAACTCCGGCAATAGGAAAGATGTAGTGCAAGGGACGGACATTGGTTTTCAGGAATTGTCCAAACATGCGGTAAGCGATGGGACCTTCCCAAATAGCGACACCCCATTTGAAGATTGTGTCATACCTTTGCACAAACATAATTTTCCTTGAAGGGATACCCCAGATTTGCCGTACGTTATTTTTGCGCAAACGTGTGGTAAGCGATGGGACCTTCCCAAATTTGTCAATGTCCTTTTAGTGAACCTTGAGTTTCCGAGATTGCGTAGGTAAAAAAAGGAGAGGCATTGAACGTACTTGCAGCCTTTTCAAGTTTCCATCAGAACTAGTCTTTTCTAAAGGAGGCTTCATGATGAACTACAGATAGTACCGAATTCACTTCGACTTCAGTCTCCGGGTACGCAGAGGCGGTCGATCGACTTCAGAGAGAAGGCTCTGGCTGATCCGGTGTGTGTGTGTCAGTCAAGAACATGGTGACCCAGTGTAAGCTTTGATACGGGCAAACTAGGCAAACTACCCTCCGGAATCAAACATGGCAACGGGAAATCCCCGTATCTAATGGAGATTTCAAATAGGTTTTAATGGGAAAACCATCTATACGTGGATTACTTTCCGTTGGAGTTGGATCCAGATCGAAACCTTGGAGTTGGACTCCGGCCCCTACGAGGCTTCGATGTGGTGGGTGCTTGGTTGTCACCATCCCACGATGGATATGTGCAGCCCAAGGCAGGGTTTCACATTCACCCACTGCCCACATGTCAGCCGTCATGTATAAGAAGAGTAGCTAGTTTGTGCTTCAATTCTCTGGAGATGCTTAAGTCAGGATGGGACATGTGCTCAAGACAAGACACAGCGAAACAGATTTCATCAGAACTGCAGGCACGGAAGATGAATACAATTGGCCAGAGTCTGAGCAGACGCTTGAAGAGCACAGACCTCACAATAGAGAAGAGTAGGGCCAGGATGGGCCAGGTGACATCTAATAGTCGTGAATCTATGTGAATCTATGTGACCATATGGGAACTTTGCCAGTTCTTGCCAGACTGATTCCCAACGAGGCTTTTCTGCTCAGTTTCGTTTGGAAGCTGCGCGTCGTGCTGTTTCAGAAGATTCGCTTTTGGCCGTCGGCAGCTGGGAGGCAGGGAAGCATGAGACTCAAGTCTTGAAATTACATCTGACCAGAACCAAGAAAGTTAATTCATTATTAATTACTGTAAAATACTGTCAATATACTGTATATAGAGAACATGTGGCAAAATCAATGAACATCTCATATCATGTCGTATCATGAATATCTTATTATATTATCATATCGTATCCCTGCAGGGGACTTAAAGATACTTTGCATATCCTCTTTGCAATTTCCTCTACAAAATCGCAACAGTTAAGCTTGGGAACATGGTGCATTTTAGGGCCCTCCTTTGTTTAGGGGTACCTACACAGTGTCAACGTTTGCAATTTTATAGAGGACCTTGGTGTCGATTCTATAGAGATTTCATGTTGAAAACAGGTTGACACTGAAAACTTGGAGCAAGAGCAACTGGAGTATTCAGGTCAGCTGTCAAAGAAAATTGACTTGGGGAATCTGATTTTATAGAAGGCCAACTCACCCCCCAACCAAAAAAAGGCTTTACGAGAGTGACTTGGTGTCAGCTATTCTATAGAAATTAATGCTCATAAATAAACAAGCTCAGTGTCACTTAATTCACAAGGGTTCGTTGCATTTTTTCCAAAACAACAGTGCAGTGTTCCGCCTTTTCGCATTGGTGAATCGCTGTGCAGGCCAAAAAACCTGGACGGTGGCCGGACTATCCCGAGGCAGATCTGTGAAGCAAGTGTAGCTTCGCCAACAGCTGCAGTGTTTGCAGCTTGACAGGTAGCGATGGCACTTCAACGGAAGCTGCGCAAAGTCGAAAAGGCCACAAAATCATGGACCACATGAGGATTGGACACATCGAACCCAAGAGTTACACTAGCTTTCATAGCTTTCCACTAGATTTCCCAAGTTTGAATATGGTCTTGTTTGTAGCGGGGGCGAAGTATAGCGAATCCATTAGTAGCAAATGAGCCCAACCCTTCAGGTGCGATATGCTGGCCCACGTCGCCAGGCATGGAAACTCACAAACGGCCTTAAGGCTGGAACGCTGTGGCAAAAGGGGCTTCAGGGCCATGGCGAGGTTTCCGAACCACGACTGTGAATATATTCATCACGTAAATCACATAAATCGTCCTCAAGGGTCCTGGTTTTCAATGGTTTTCATAGGATAGAGTATAGAAAATATAGAAAGTTGAATCATTGAATCTTTTGCTCAAAATCGGCGATCTGGAGTATTGCTCAAATACCGTTACCGATACATGAAGCGTGTTGGATAACGCAGAGGGAATGCGTTTGCCATGAACCTGTTCGGAGTCTTGTTCTGGGTATGTTTCGACCAAAGAGCTTCCATGGATCCCAAGCTGGTTTCGAGCTAGCTTGGATTCATGAAATGAATTTGTGCCCATTAGATCCCATCAGAATTATTCCTAAATTGATTTGATGTCTTGAGATGTCTTGAGTATCTGAGCACCCCCGGCACTTTTTTCCATTGCTCTGTTCTTTCCTTCATGAATTGTTCCTCTCCCTTCCCGTGTGTAGGAGATCCTTTGAACCACAGAACCCTACAGTTACTATAGCGATAATATATATATATGTGTAAATGTAATGTAATGTAGTGTAGTGTAGTGTAATGTAATGTAATTTAATGTAATGTAATGTAATGTATGTATGTCTATGTAATATATATATATATACTGTATATTATAGTTGCATGATTTGTGTTGTTCCAGAAACTCCTGCCAGACTCTCCAACAACAAACTGGAAATGCCGTTGCAAGGTCAGGGATTCGCCCCGCCAGGTTTTCTATGCTTGTGGCACAGATCATGCACAGACCCAGGGCTTATATCGTGGATTTCTGACCGACAGGCCACTTCTGCCAGACCTGATGCGATGGGGCTGATTTGGGCATACCCTGGGCATATAGTATCAGATTCATCCAAGGAAGGTCAGTTAGAAAACTTCCGAGTTACGCATGATGGTCATGGTTAGCATTCACACCATCATGTCAACCACATCATGTCAACCCCATAATCAAATAGTTGGGAAGTAAAAGAGTCTGAGAGTGTGTGATTTTACGGGTGAAAACACTCTCGGGCGCGAAACCCTTTGTTTTATTAAAGGGCTGCCGCCCCCTGCCGCCGACCCCTGGTAGCGTGTGGGGTGGGAAGGGTTTAAGGCCAGCTTAGGGCGCCGGGAAGGGTTTAAGGCCAGCCTACTGCCAGGAAGGGTTTAAGGGCAGCTTAGGGCGCCGGGAAGCGTTTAAGGCCAGTAGGGCAGCTTAGGGCGCCGGGAAGCGTTTAAGGCCAGCCTACTGCCTAACGTTGCTTTCTGAAACCAGAAGAACATCTCCAGGAAAGCGCCCGGCAGGTGGCCAAAGGACATGCTACTGGGCCGCCAAGGGCGCCGGGAAGGGTTTAAGGGCAGCTTAGGGCGCCGGGAAGCCTTTAAGGCCAGCCTACTGCCTAACGTTGCTTTCTGAAACCAGAAGAAAATCTCCAGGAAAGCGCCCGGCAGGGGGCCAAAGGACATGCTGCTGGGCCGCCAAGGGCGCCGGGAAGGGTTTAAGGGCAGCTTAGGGCGCCGGGAAGCCTTTAAGGCCAGCCTACTGCCTAACGTTGCTTTCTGAAACCAGAAGAAAATCTCCAGGAAAGCGCCCGGCAGGTGGCCAAAGGACATGCTGCTGGGCCGCCAAGGGCGCCGGGAAGGGTTGAAGGGCAGCTTCGGGCGCCGGGAAGCCTTTAAGGCCAGCCTACTGCCTAACGTTGCTTTCTGAAACCAGAAGAAAATCTCCAGGAAAGCGCCCGGCAGGTGGCCAAAGGACATGCTGCTGGGCCGCCAAGGGCGCCGGGAAGGGTTGAAGGGCAGCTTAGGGCGCCGGGAAGCCGTTTAAGGCCAGCCTACTGCCTAACGTTGCTTTCTGAAACCAGAAGAAAATCTCCAGGAAAGCGCCCGGCAGGTGGCCAAAGGACATGCTGCTGGGCCGCCAAGGGCGCAGGGAAGGGTTTAAGGGCAGCTTCGGGCGCCGGGAAGCGTTTAAGGCCAGCCTACTGCCTAACGTTGCTTTCTGAAACCAGAAGAAAATCTCCAGGAAAGCGCCCGGCAGGTGGCCAAAGGACATGCTGCTTTCTGAAACCAGAAGAAAATCTCCAGGAAAGCGCCCGGCAGGTGGCCAAAGGACATGCTACTGGGCCACCAAGGGCGCAGGGAAGGGTTTAAGGGCAGCTTCGGGCGCCGGGAAGGGTTTAAGGCCAGCCTACTGCCAGGAAGGGTTTAAGGGCAGCTTAGGGCGCCGGGAAGCGTTTAAGGCCAGTAGGGCAGCTTAGGGCGCCGGGAAGTTAAGGCCAGCCTACTGCCTAACGTTGCTTTCTGAAACCAGAAGAAAATCTCCAGGAAAGCGCCCGGCAGGTGGCCAAAGGACATGCTGCTTTCTGAAACCAGAAGAAAATCTCCAGGAAAGTGCCCGGCAGGTGGCCAAAGGACATGCTACTGGGCCGCCAAGGGCGCCGGGAAGGGTTTAAGGGCAGCTTAGGGCGCCGGGAAGCCTTTAAGGCCAGCCTACTGCCTAACGTTGCTTTCTGAAACCAGAAGAAAATCTCCAGGAAAGCGCCCGGCAGGTGGCCAAAGGACATGCTGCTGGGCCGCCAAGGCGCGCCGGGAAGGGTTGAAGGGCAGCTTAGGGCGCCGGGAAGCCTTTAAGGCCAGCCTACTGCCTAACGTTGCTTTCTGAAACCAGAAGAAAATCTCCAGGAAAGCGCCCGGCAGGTGGCCAAAGGACATGCTGCTGGGCCGCCAAGGGCGCAGGGAAGGGGTTAAGGGCAGCTTAGGGCGCCGGGAAGCGTTTAAGGCCAGCCTACTGCCTAACGTTGCTTTCTGAAACCAGAAGAAAATCTCCAGGAAAGCGCCCGGCAGGTGGCCAAAGGACATGCTGCTGGGCCGCCAAGGGCGCCGGGAAGGGTTTAAGGGCAGCTTCGGGCGCCGGGAAGCCTTTAAGGCCAGCCTACTGCCTAACGTTGCTTTCTGAAACCAGAAGAAAATCTCCAGGAAAGCGCCCGGCAGGTGGGCGCCGGGAAGGGTTTAAGGGCAGCTTAGGGCGCGGGAAGCGTTTAAGGCCAGCCTACTGCCTAACGTTGCTTTCTGAAACCAGAAGAAAATCTCCGGAAAGCGCCCGGCAGGTGGCCAAGGACATGCTGCTGGGCCGCCATCGCCTAGGCAGGTGGGCGCCGGGAAGGGTTTAAGGGCAGCTTAGGGCGCCGGGAAGCGTTTAAGGCCAGCCTACTGCCTAACGTTGCTTTCTGAAACCAGAAGAAAATCTCCGGAAAGCGCCCGGCAGGTGGCCAAGGACATGCTGCTGGGCCGCCATCGCCTAGGTGCTCCTCGGACGCGCTCCCCCTGCCATCGTCTGGGGTCGGCGGATTAGTGTTTTTCATATTGATGGTATTTTGAATATATATATATATATAAATAATTGGTTTCCGTTTCTGACAACCACCACACAACAGCGCAATCTTTCTCTCCAGCCCGAGGGGCTACGCCTGCCATTGGGGTCTTACGCTCTGCTATTCTGGAGACCGCATCTGCCAGACATTGGCGTTGGGCTCTTCACTTCTTCGTAGCAGCGCCACGGGTGGTGACTCCTTCCTCCAACGCTGCGATTGAGGCGCTGCTAGGAAGCCTTGCCGCTGTCAAGAAGTGGGCTCTGTGTTTTGGCTTTACAAAAGTCATTTTTAAAGCAATACATTTTGTGGAGGAGTCTTATCTTGATGGCTCAACCACGTTGGCTTTTGAGCCTGGTATATTCACTAAACTAAAGCGCCAAAAGGGCCTATTGCTGCAGGAATCTGCAACTTTTTGAAGAGCTCTACTTTGAAGGACATGACCTTTCAGTTGACTCCTTCCATGACGCACTGTCCTGCTGCAAGTTGTGGGGTCATGAGAGCTGGGCCCATGCAGAAATCTTGCTGGAGCGTATGAGAAGCGTGTGGCAGACTGAGACGACAGGATACCCACCGTGAGCTGTAGCATTTTTTTGCACGATCTGTGATAAACCCTGTTTTATTTTGGGATGAACATTCATCTTCTCTTGAGTTCATCAGGGTACCAGTTGTTTTTTGCATTACTTCAGATCAGCTGAATATCAGCTGATGCTTGAGGGGTTTTGCGACACCTCGTTTTCAAAACAAATTGCACCATTTGATCATTCGACATCCTTCATAGGTCAAATCGCTATTTTTTGTGTTGGCTAAATCACATGTTTTTTTTCCCATCTAAAGTACTATATGATGGGGACCCAACCCTGGCCCATCATGGCTCCTGGCAGATTGCTACAACTTGGCCCTGGGCATCATACCATGGAAGCGAGCACTGCACGTGTTCGATCGGATGCGCCACCTCAACAGCGCGAGCTTCAGCAAAGTGATTTCCAGCTGTGGAAGGAGATTCAGCCCTGCCAGTTGGGCGCAGTTGGGGTGGAATTTGTCATGGGTACCATGGTAATTACAAGCATAAACGATGAAGATCTTATGTATTGACTTAAAACTGGAACTGCACACCCAAGCAGGGTCCTTTTCTCTGCGTTTTATGAAAACTGAAACCAGATCCCAACATCCACCAGGAGTGAAGAATGGCAAGCTGCCCTGGCGATTTTCTGTCAGATGCCGGACTATACCCTTGACCACAGCATTGGGGCATACAGCGCCATGATCAGTGCCTGTCACCTGGCAATTTTGCTTTTGTCAAGAATGGGTGAAACCGAACAACAGGTTATTTTCATGGGGAAAAGGGGGAACATGATTATCTCAACCATGGGATGGAAGGGTTTATTTCCAAGCAAGGATCGTGATGATGACCAGCTGATACTCTAGATTCGTCTTTGAGGCTGGTTGAAGCCACTGATCAGAGTACCATCTGCTTCAAAGCTGTTTGGTCGTTCATTTTTCACATACCTCGACTCATTCACCTTATTTGGGATGACAATCCCAAAAAAACGCCAAATTGTCAGGGTGGTGGCTCATTATACCCAGAAAATGATCGACACATTCGTTTTGTTTCATTTTCAAATGAACAGCTAAGTGTCTGAAACTGGGGTATAAGACTTGCGGGGAACGTGATTTTAAGACAGATTTCAAGGGGTTTTCTCCCACATTTTCAAAGAAATCAAAGGAATTGACGTCTTTTCTTTCCCCGACAGGTCACTGTTAGTCGGTGAGTCGCTGTTCCCAGGTGAGAAGGGTTGCCAATGGCAACGCGCTCTCCAGCTGCATGGCCAGATGAGGCGACGAAACGTGGTGAGTTTGTCCTCCTGCATCAGCGCCTTAGAGAAGGGAAGGCAATGGCAAAAAGCTGAGAGTTTCTTGGAATCCATGCTGCAGGAGCAGGGGACCCAGGGGAGCTGGGGAGCTGGATATGACTAAAGAATACTAAAGAATACTAAAGAACTAAATACTAAAGAATTTTTCGAAAACCATGAATAATAGAGCAAGTACTGGTAAATAGATAAATCATGATGGGGAATAGGGGCCCCCAACTTTGATGGTCCGAAGTTGTGATCAGGACGAGATCATGATGATCATGATGTAACCTTGCAGGAGGGACCGGAACCCAACATCATTACCTTCAACGCATTTATCAGTGCACTGAGAGATGCTGAGATGCAATGGTCCAGAGTTCTCAGAGTCCTTCAACAGCTGGCAACTTATCCAATCGAAGCAGATGACTTTACTTTGGTCGCAAGCATTAGCAGCATAGGTTCCAGGAGATGGAGACCCGCTCTCGAATTGTTGGTCACTTCGAGGTCACAAAGCACTGAATGCAAGGAGCCTGGATGTTTTCAGGGATGGGTCAACAAAAATGGAGGCCTTACTGAAGAAAAACTGTACCCTCTGGTAAACTATCATAGCTGTTGAAAATTGCCATTTATAGTGGATTTTCCCATTAAAAATGGTGATTTTCCATAGCTACGTTAAATTCCCAGAGGGTATCTTTGGTCATGGCTATGTCATGGGTATCCCCTTGTTTGACCCATCACCATGTCTTTTTCATCGTCCCAGGAAGCTGCAAGTGCTTTAATGAACTCATGGTTCCCACAACGCTGGAGTTATTCCATGGCTCTATGGGTGACCATGGAACAGTCACACCTTGAGACGACCATTCCATGCCTTGGAGGCAGAGCTTTGCTGCCTAACAGCCCTGGACCTCTATCATCTTCTCATCGTTTCCCCTTATTCAATGGCCATGAACTGGGGTAAATCCATGTAAATCCCCCAAGTTTGAAGGACTACCCCATATTCTGCCTCATCAACTATACCAGTTTCACCCGTTGAACAAACATTTTTTGACCTCACTCAGTTCAGATTAACCATTGAAACAACAAGCATTACGGATGTTGTGCTTGGGGGTGGAGTTCCACTAATAAGTGGGTTACAGTGCACCATAGTTGTCGGGGCAAAATATCCCATCTTATGGATGTTAGAATCCCAAAGTTATACCCATTTTTGTCACCCAACTGCACCCATTCATCATATTGATCATATTGGGTTTAGAAAAATAGCAAATCCCATAGATATCCCATTAAGAATCCCATTAAGAATTCACCCAAGTGCCGCGCTAGGCATCTTGTTATCCTTAAAGGCTTCCGGGCACTGGGAGTTGATGTCCCACCGTCTGGCCGCTGTGCCTCCGGCGAGCGGCCGAGGCGGCGGAGGCGGCCGAGTGCGCTCGGTGCTGATCAGCGGCCTGGCACAGGCGGCGAAGTGGAACGAAGCACTGGCTTTTTTTCAGCAGATGCTTGGCGAAATATGGGTATAAACCACTGGGTATAATCACTGAGTATAAACCAACCAAAATGGCGAAATATGGGTCTAAACTAAGCAAAATTTGGTGATTTAAGCAGCAAAAACTCAGGATTTAATACCATCACACATGGGGACTACACATTTTTGGACTTCAGCAAGCAAAACGGGACATTGAAGCACTAGGGATTTCTAACCAAAAGCTTGGGGGGTTTTGACCTTCATGGAGTTCACCATGGGTGTGTCTGAAAATGGTGGGATTTAGCACCAAGATGGCAATTTTGAATAATTTTGATAAGGAACATGGTGATGAACCCATAGATTTAGGGGCACCCTATCCCAAGTGCCCTCCCAAGTGCCCTTTGACCAGTTTTCTAAGGAACTTTCCGAAGTAGGTCCAAACACCTAATCTGGTTGGTGCTTTGGAACATGAATCTTATTTCCATTTCATATATGGGATGTCATCCTTCCCATTGACGAAGTCATATTTTTCAAGATGGTTAAGTCACCACCAACCAGTTTTATATAACACCTACTGTAGATGCAACTTTGCAGAACGTTGAGAAGTTTTCTCCAAAAATCGGAGCTCCAAAAATCAGTGACCCTCTGGTAATTCAACATAGCTATTGAAAATGAGCATTTATAGTGGATTTTCCCATTGAAAATTGTGATTTTCTATAGTTATGTAAACGTTTACCAGAGGGGACCTTTTTTCTCCAAAGGTCCCAGGGTCGAAAAAAGCCAGGACGAAGACCCTGGGTCTACAGCCCGAGAGCTCTGAACACAGCGCTGCCATGGGCGCCTGCACTGGTCCGCAGTGGCCTACAGCTGTGGGGCTCATGGATCCATTGGAACCAACGGTGAGCAGCTACAACATGGCAAGCAGTGCCTGTCAAGATGGACACTGGGAGATAAATGGAGATAATGGAGATGGATGATACCCTGATGGTCATTGGCATCATTTTATGGGATAGGCATATATAGGTAATGATGGTAATGCTTAAACCATGAGACCTGCGAATGACGAAAACAACGAAATTTGGAGATTTGGACAAGATTTGAATTTTCCAGCCACCAACTGTCTTCTAGAGTCGTCTTTCTTGATGATTTGTGAGTGAATTTAGGGCTGTCCTCTTACAGGAGCATGCTGGCTTCTACCCTTGAACTATTTGGATGCCATGAAGAGTTTAAGCCTACAGCCGGATGAGCTGACCTGGAATTCCATAGTAATATGTTTCTGGGCAGAGGAAGGTCTGGTGGATTGTGGAGGATGAGTAGAGAAACAATTCCTGACTGAGCACAGTTCGAAAACCCAGATAGGAAGTAGTTGGTGGGTACGAGTACCAGTATCACACCCCAATTGTTTCTATAAATGGATCAGAAAGTGATGATACATGGAACTATGAACCACTTTCTAGCTGGGATTGTATAGCTAAATTGGGCGCATGCCATTTTTTTTCTCGATTTTAATGAAGAACATATATGGCAGCCTACTTATAACTTAACACGCAATTGATCTACCCTGCATAATCCACATACAAGATTCATTTAAAAGATCAGATCTCAAATCAACGTCTAATCCAATACATTTCATTTTTCCTCCATTCAACAACTCCGTTGATCCATGAAGTCCTGAGCATTTTCGGAGCCAGGTTGCCAAAAGGCCCAGCGCTGGAGGTGGTGCCTGGAGCTCCTCCCGTCTGCGTCCAGTGTAGCCTTCACGGCCTCACTTGCTGCGGTGAGCGGAGCAAAGTGGAGCTGGGCCGTTGGGATGTTGGAAGATATGGAAGATGCCGGGCTGAAGTGAATTTCGCCATGGAAATTCCCATGGAAATTGATGGAACGATGGAAGATGAGTGGGTCAAGGTTAGGTACCCCAAATTTTGGGGGTGCATATGAGTATGATTATGGATATGATGATATGAGTATGAATGGATGCAGGTATGTGAATGGGGGTCAGCTGATTTCCCGTAATGGGAGATGAACATCTGCAGCAAGCTATTGTGAAGATGAACACCGGGGGCGCCGGGGGTAGCAGGGTTTTGATTCGTTGGGATGGTCAAAATTGGGCTGACCAACATCTTTCTGCCCTTGCTGCATCGTGGAATCGTGGACCCATCTCGAAGCGTTGGGTTTTCCCATTTTTCCCGGGTTTTTTCGAAAAAACCACCGGATCTTCAGATTCGACGAAACGACGAGGACATGGACTTTCCATGCAGCAGCCTCTGTCTCCAAGTGGCCTTAGATGCATGCGCTCTCCGGCCCCAAAGCCGGCAGACCGTTGGACCTTTGTTGGAAGCCCTGCAGGTCACCGGGGCTGATCTGCTTTATTCCTTGGCCAAGCCGAGCAATGGGGTGGAAAAGCGGCAGGTCGCTGTGGCTGTCATCTTGAATTGAAGAACCATATTTTGGGGGGTGATAGTTGTATGATAGTTGTATGGGTTTGTGTGTGTCTTTTTTGGGAAAGCCTTAAATCCAGTCATTTATCATCCGTTTCCCGATGAACATTGCACCTTGGGGAGTATACCGTCATTATCGGAAACACCCATAGTGTGACTGGATTGGCCATTTCCATGTTTTAGGTCACGACATTTGCTCGTCACACCAGGAGCGGCCCGATTTTCACCTCCTTTTACGGATGGATGAGTCAAAGTTCGACCCTTACAGCCACCAAAACAGCGGAGGATCCAGGGTGGATGCACCATGATGCACCTTTA